AAGTACAGTCATTGAATTTAAAGCTCTTGATTGACACCCTCTTCATGGAGCTTGTCAGGAGGAGAGAGCTAGGAGACAGACCACAGAGTGCTCTCAGATACATGGCTGGGTAACTGCTCTATGAACTCAGACAAGGAGTGCCATCACACACAGCTTTGTCCTTCAAAAGCTTTCAATAGCTTCTATTATCCTTACATCCTTAAATACAGGACACTTCACAAATGACCAACATGACAAAAACCTCAGTAACCACCAGGCTTCTACTGACCATAAAAAGCCCACAAACCCCCACATCCTGACGACCAACCCATGGAACACCGTGGCAGGACTGATGAGACACTGGGACCCACACCAGGAGAAAGCACTTTGTCAAGGGGGTTATTGTGACCAAACTAATCATACGCAATGAAGAGGCAACTAATTGAGACATGGCAAGAGAGACCATCACAAAGGTGGGATGCTCCGTGGAAGAAATGGAGAAAACCAGAGAACACTTCAGTGGAAGCTGCTAAGACGTGGGCAAACAGGAATAGAAGGTGGGAGGCTGAAGGAGGTTAACTGAGAGGACCAGAGTCTTGCTCCGAGTTCAGGAGAGAGTACGAAGGGACAAGGCATGACCAAAGCTGTGGAGGAAGAAGTATTTTTTTTGCAGCAGCATTTTAAGCAGCAGAAGCTCCGAAGCAAGGAAGTGGTTGCCATAATCCAAACAACAAATGGAAGAACAGGTAGGGTGGGGAGTGACTGGTATTTACATGCACTTATTTCTGCCTCATATCTACTGACCAAAGAGCTGAAATATGACTGTTTTTTTTTTTTTTTTTTCCCCTCTATCACCAGATGGTTTCTAAAGACTTGCTTCAAAACGTCTTCTGCAACTCAGTGAACTGAACGTTACGGACATTCATAAAACAGCTCTTCCAGAGGCAGTTCAAACTTGAAGATACCAAAATTAGGGATGCAATTATTTCAGAGAGTCCTGTCCTCAATCAGGACTCATTTTCCACATTTTACTTAAGTGCATCTGTTGTTAGAGGAAACAAAAGCTGCATCTGAAACACAGGGAAAATACTCCCGGGACAGCACTAAGAGAAAGCTTCCCGTTCAAATGCCACCAGCACGTACACTGTTGAACAGGGGATGAGATGAAGTTTCTGGTGTAGCAGCAGGACCAAGATATTGAAAGGAGACTTGGAATGAGCCAAAGAAGCCTGTTGTGTACCAAGTCAAAACACCCATTACCACGAGAACCACGCTGCATACACTACAACCACCCAACCATGCTGGTCTTGCCCTGCTTCAGCCACACAGAGGGGAGTTGCAATCCATCACCTCACCTGGACTTGCCCAGCTAGTCGAGACTTTTGCAAACACTGTGTTATCCCCAAAATGGCTGCGGGCAGTCAGACAGCCACCCCCTTGCTCAACAGATCAAGTTTCCCCAACCATCACATCCCAGGGCTTGGGATGCGTTAGCTCCACGTATTCATTTGCAACATAAATTCATTCCTTCTGCAGCCGCCGTAGCAGCCTTGGTCTTCCCGAGAGGCCAAATCTGACCCGGTCACTTTGGCATGGTGTCTCACTCACTAATACAAAGAAATCCAGCTGGATCTTTCCGAAGCCTTACTGAGCTTTCCGAAAAGCCAAACCCAGTCTCCAAAGCATTTGGCCCCGCTCAACTCTGTCCGGTTAACAGGTAATGCAGACCGTAGAGGCCAAGCTCCTCGTGATGTACCAGCCTCCCTCCACTGACCAGAGAGGGAGGCCACAGCAACCTGCTTTCTAACACAGACATCGTGGCTTTGCAGTCAAAACCCAGAAAAGGGTCCAGGCTACAGAATCCCTTTATTTTTCATGTGTCTCTACGGCTGGTTTCTCTCCAACACTATACACATTTCTAACAGGAATCACAGAAAATGAACGGCTTCCACTAACACGTAACACCAACTTCATTGTGGAGCATCAAAGTTATCGATATCAAATTTTGACATCCTCATGGGGGACAGAAGCAGAAGGGAAAGGTATGTATTTAGGCAGGGGATTTTCATCCACGAGGTGCTCACAGTGCTCTAATGCACAGCTATATTCTAAATGTTACGGGGATACTGGTTTGATACCGGTTTGGGTTTCCCAGTTTCAAAGTCTGCCTGGTTAAAACCAGTGACCTGTACTCCCAGCTGAGACGGGAGGAAGGACTTGGTCACATATTTAGTTATGCAGGCATGTAACAGAGGGAAGAACAGTCTAGCGGCTAAAACAAAGAAACCAGTATCAGGATACAGGTCCAGTATCAGAAGCTGCCCAGCTACTAAGATGACTGTGGCACTAGAATCCCTCTCTGTACAGGGAATGCTGGGGAAGAGGCACATCTGTATTTACACTCCCACTAACATTACTGCCCCAAGAAAATGAGTTTCTTGTCCATGAAACACTAAGAGACCCCCTAAAAGGTCCTAAACGGTACGGATGGGAAACTAAATTCCATCTGGACCACAACCAGGCGTTTTCAAACTTCTGTTTCCTACCCAGGCACGTGCTAGAGGAACCCAAGCCTGTGGGACAGCTTGTGAGACGGGTATGAACCTCCTGAGGTTACAGCTAAAGCCAAATCACCTTCAAACTCACAATCCTCCCTTAAAGGCTGCTGGAGTTGGAAGCTGCTGTGGTCCGAGCCTGTTTACAACTCAGATTGTAATATTAGAACCATCCAAAAATAGCAGCAATTCAAATACCACCAGTAAGGAAGGGACAAAGATGCTGAGGTTCATTGAAGCAAACTGAGAATTTCTGGTTGAAAAAAAAAAAGAAAAAATCAGCCGCATTCTCCTTCCAAGGAACTTATTTGGCCGTCACCACAGCAAAATGGTCAAGGAAAATGGGTGGGGAAGAAGAAATAGTTCA